CTGCCTGTTTATTCAAGTTGTACATTTGCCTTCATTCTGAAAAAAATAAATGTCTCTACATTTTTGGATTTATGTAAGGATCTTCAGTTTCATTCCACTGAACAGCATATCTGTTTTTTATTCCAATATCATTGTGAATTTTTAGTTCTCTTACATTTTCATTGTGATTGGAAAAAGCCATGAATAAAACCTACTTAGGAAGAAAAAGAATAATTTCAAACTCTAGCTCTCACATTGCACTCCATTACAGAGTGAAGTCAGGGAAGGAACTCATGGTGGGAACTAAAGCAGAGAAGCAGTGCAGATGTGCTGCCTACTGGCTTGTTCTCCAGCGCTTGCATAACCTCATTTCTTAGAAGCCCCTGAACAATATGTGGCAACAAACACTATCCACAATGAGAATGGCTCTCCCAGTTCAGTCTTTAAGCAATAAAATACACAATGATCTTTCTTATAGACAGATCTTATAGAAGAATTTTCTCAATTAAAATTCTTTTCTATCAGATGGCTCTAGTTTTTTTGTCAATTTGACAAAATATTAGCCAGCAGAGGGCCCCCTTCTCAGTGCCTGAAGCATATTTCTTCCTTAAGGTTACACAGGTAGCATGTTGAGCCATTGATATTAGATAAATTTATAATTGGTTATTGTTTCAATTTTCTCCAGTTATTGTAATAACTACCATAACCAAAGACAACCAGGTGAAGACAGGGTTTTATTCATCTTACAAATTATAGTCTATCATCCTGAGAATCCAAGACAGGAATGTGAAGGCCAGGACTGAAGCAAGATAAAAAGCACACAACTCACTGGCCTACACAGATTTCTTTAATATTTGGGCAAGCCCACCTACCCAGTGATGGCACCACTCACAATATGATTGATCTCCTTATATTAATATATTAATTACCACTAAGGAACATGCTTAACTGAAGGGATATATGCCAGTCCAATAGAAGCAATTCTTCACTTGAAGTTCCCGTTTTTCTAGATGTTTCCAATTGATGGCTAAAATAAGCCTTCATCTTTATAAATGTTTATCCAACTTAGTAGTCAATGAAGACACAGGTTATAAAATTTTCCATGCATCTGAGTACCTTGGATGTAAGAGGTGATAGAACAGGAATGCATTCTTCACTCACAACGTGGTAGAGAATCTGATACTTCTTTTGAGGTATTCAGCCCTTCTCTTGGTGCAATTCCTAAGATGAGAGTAAGCAGAATGATGGTGGCTCATAGTTTGGGAGGTATGTACACCATGGAATCAATACCAGAGGTTATGATGATAAATGCTGACTAGTATACTCATCACTTAAGGGATTGAGAAACAAATTCCAGGAAACAAATTTCCAGAAAAGTCACTGGAAAAAATAAGTTTAGTAAGAACTCTGTTGGCTCTTGTTGTTTATGGATGAGAAACACACAAATGGGTCACTGTAGGGGTGAGCCCACAATATTATCCACGCCCAAAGAGGCATGAGCAGGGGATGGGCACAGGTGAGAATAAAAGGAAGAAAAGAAAAAGTATGCTCTTTTGGAAGCTATCCATGTTCCCAGAGCTTCTATCCCTGTTCATTTTGTAAGTATATTGAAAACAAGTATTAGACCTCTGTTTCAGATAGCGTCACTTACCAGGGTTGTGGGCTATTAACGAGAATCCCTCTATGCAATAGCATTAAATGAATTACTCTGAGACTCATACAGAAAAAGCATCTCAGGAATGTTCAATTAATGCCAGAGATGCCCCATGGGCCTTGCTGGAAACCGATCTGAGTTCAACAACTGTCTCTTGTGCTCTGTTTTGATGACCCATTTGTCTAGGGTGGACTGAATAAACCTTCCCAAAACCATAGTTGGCTTTTACACTGAGGAGTCTCATGGACTATTCAATGTGAGTTTTTCTGAGCCACAAGGATATGAGGACATATCTCCAATGGAAAAAAATTCTCTGAAATATATTCAGGGAAGGAATATGGGATATATTTCCTCAGGGAGAATTAAGACTTAATTCTCTTTGTTCTGTCGTGTCTTCTTTCCTTTGCATAAGTTGAATCAGGCCTTGACAAGAACAACTCTCTGTCTCATGAGTATGCATATGACCTGAATATGTGCTGTTAAATACAGGTCTATTCTATATTACAGCACCCCATGACAAACATTTTCTCCATTAGCCATTAGTGACAGGTCACATTTATGGGCTGGTACTGGAACATCTTCCTAGTGGCAGTGACTGCAGGTAAGGTGCCCCAAACACAGGCCTTGAAGATGGGCTAAGTATTCAGGAGACACTGCTATGAATTTACCTACTTTTTACAGGTTTCTACTGCCAAGTCCAGCTTCAGCAGTATGGGGTTAATCTGAAGAGGTCTTGGGCCTCAGAAAAGGTGTCCTGTAATGTCTCTTTGTACAGCTTCAACAGGTACAATATTAACTGTGTGCCCCAGAGGACTTGACAGTGCCTTGAATGGACAGGTTGGATGAACCCTAGAAGTTCTAGGATTGGTTATACACAGAAATACAAAGAGGTCTTCATGACCCTTGACCCATTCATCAGCACAGCCTACATGGAGCTCAGCTGCCTAACATCTGAGGACTGTGTGTTCTATTTCTGTGGAAGACAAAGTGAGACAACCCACATCCTGAGTTTGTCAGAAAACCCGAGGAAACAGCAAGCTCCCATGGGTCTAACATAACAGGGAAACTTAGGTTAAGGACTAGTTTAAAATTTGTGGTAAAATCATCGAGGAAAAGAACAAAAATACTTTGAATTCTTTATCGATCAATTGGTATTTTTTCTCCTCATTCTTCACAAAATGTTCAGCTTGTAGTGTTCCCAGTTAAAGATTACTTGTACATCCCCTCTTGATGTTGATATAAACATGTGTTTCTAACATAATTTAGTAAATGTTTTTGGAAGTAATATGTTTACATATTAACTGTAATCTAAGTCACATGATATGACAGAGATGACTTTTTAATTTCTATGTAAATGAAATCCTGGGTAAAATTTCTTTTTTGCAAAATGAGGAAAAGTTTCAGACATTCACCCTATTCCCTGGCCTTGAATTTTTAGCATTCTTGACTTTTAATACTATTCCCAGGGGTCAAACTCTTGTCAGAGTAGATAATATGCCTAATTATCAACTTGAATCATAATGAGAAATACGACACATCAGTTTGGGCTGTGGGGAATGTATTGGTTATCTTAATTGACATGAGAAGTTCAACTTTAACTGAAAAACATCATTTCCTGTGCTTGAGGACCTACAACTTGTAAGTTTTGAGAAACGCCAATGACAAGAGTGTGTGCAGATATTCATTCTCTGTCTTTCCTCTTGCTTAAGATGTGACTAGCTTCTCATGTTACTACCATTAATTCCCCTAAGTTCATGGTACATAAAGGAATTGTATGATAGATACATGAAATTTCTTTTTTGCATCCATATTTTGTCCTCGAAACAGGAATGAAACCACAATGCAGAACCTCTACCTGTACTGACACTTAATTGTGTCCCACACTCCACATGTTACATATTTGCATCTAACATTGGAATTTAGAAGGGCAATATCTCTTGTTTCAACTGTGGAAGTGTCACCTAAACCGTAAATGTTCTGAGGAAATCACATATGATAAAAGTGACCAGGAATCAGAACTGGAGGCTGTAAATCAGATATGGTTTTCAATGAAAATTGCTCACCAGCCTGGGTCTAATTTGTATTCACAAAGATTCACACAAAATCCTAGTATAACTTAATTTTCTAAACCAAAATTTCCTAATATCACTGTCCCTCCTCAGTTTCCATTCCTGTGCAGAATTATGTGGATTGACCTGCAGTCTATTATGCCTTGCTTATGCTGCTAAAGAGTTAACCAAACTCTGACCTCTGATGCTGATATCGCACAACTCACCTGGTTTATCTAAATTCTGGAAACTAGAGCACATGTTGGTGAACAAATAAATTAACAGATAAAAACCTTTCCCTCAATTGTCCTGTCGGCATATCAGTCACCAATAAATCCATAAAGGCTGTACACAAAGCAACCTGGTGTTATCAACAATGCGTTGTGCTGAGAGAGACGTCAGGCAGAAGTTTGTTCTTAATGCCTATTTCCATGACATCCAGAGAATGAGAAACAAGTTTAGTGACTCTAGGTTAGATCAGGAAGGGTAACATCCTGGGATGGGCCATAAACAGATTGAGTAGAAAGATCAAGGGTAGTGGTGTTGATAGTGAAACCATTCTTCTGTGATTCCTGAGCTGGTACACATAGGACATGTAGAAGTCAAATGCTGAACTATACACTGGAGTTCAGCTCATCAGTCACTTCCTGTTTCTAATGAATAAAGAAGTAGATATGCTAGGGATGGAGACATGAAATAGGCAAAAATGCAATAATTTCATACTCCTAGATACAGATACATGTAAGTCTGGAAGTGGGCTCTCCAGTTTCCTAAATGAACAATGGATTGGTCATGCCACATAATCTCAATACAAAAAGAGAGTTCCCAACCTCAGAAGTCAGCTACACACAGTGCTGGAGTTTACGCAGGTATTGCCAAGTGCATCAGGGCTGAAGTCAACATAGTGAAAGAAATTAGCTCCAGAGCATGTAGGAGAGCAATGCCCAAAGGCCTCTATAACACATGACATGAAAAACTTGATTGAAATTAACCATCAAATGCATCATTTGTTCATGAATACTAAATGAATAAGATGATAATTATTATGTATCACAAAAAACCCAAATTAAGATGATACAAAAATCTCCTACAATTGTCTTTATTGCCAGACTTCCCCAGCGATTTACAAACATACTCTGGCATGCTAACCTTCAGTGCCATCTACAGAACGTGTTATGTACCAGGAAGTTATGCAAATAAGGCCACTCTCTTCTTATGAAAACCAGTCCAAAATGGACCCTGAATCTCAGATAAAGGAGACTAGCCCTGCATTCTCAGTTCTTCACATTAAGTTATCAGAACTGAACACCGTACACAACATGGATTTGGAGTTGATTTTTGTTTTCCTTGTTGCTCTTTTAAAAGGTAATATATGGTCAAGAGATAGTGAATCTGTGAGTGAATATGATCTCCATGCTGATTGTGTAGCAAATTATTGACAGGATTCATTGCATTTGCAGCTGTCCAGTGCAAGGATCACCTAGTGTATTCTGGGGGTCATCTGGTACAGCCTGGGGCATCCCTGAAACTCTCCTGTGTAGCTTCTGGATTCAGTTTTACTAGAGATTGGGTGAAATGGGTCTGCCAGGCTCCTGAGAAGGGGCTGGAGAGGGTTGCAGACATTAATGGAGACAACAGTGCCACAAGGTATGTGCCTTCCGTGAAGGGCCAATTCTACATCTCCAGAGACAATGCCAAGAATACTCTGTACCTGAAAATGAACAATCTAAAGTATAAGGACACAGCCACCTTTTACTGGGCTAGCTACACAATAATGAGACTTAAGTGTGAACCCAGACATAAACCTCACCCTGAGGCCATTCATGGCCACCAGGGGGAACACAGCACAAACAGACCACATACTGTCTAGGAGAAGATGTGATCTTCTCAGTTGTCTGGGATTCGCATTTTCTTTTCTTTTCTTTTTTTTAATTTTAAATAGCTTGTTTTACATGTAAATCCCAGTTCCCTCTCCCTCCCCTCCTCCTGCACTCAACCCAACCCCCCCATCCTTCCATCCTATTGCCAATTCATTCATTTCATTCAGGGTAGAGTCCAGGCACATCCCTAAGAGTCCAGGCAGAGAGAGCAACCCACTTTTTGTTATGGACACACGATGTCTGTTAGTATTCGAGGGATAAACACTGATCCACTGATTCCATAGGCAGCCCAGGCCTCCTCATTGACTCTCACATTCAGGGGTTCTGGATCGGTCCCATGCTAGCCTCCCAGATGTCAGTCTGGGGTCCAAGTGCTCTCCCCTCTTTGGATCAGCTGTCTCTGCTGGTTTTTCCAGCCCATTCTTTGCCAATTTCTTCTTCGCTCCTCTATCTCTGTCGCTGGGATCCATGGGTTCTGTTCAGTATTTAACTGTGGGTGTTTGCCTCTGCTTCCATCAGTCACTGGATGAAGGCTCCATGATGGTTATAGACATCAAGTTCACTATCAGGAATAGGCATTCCAGGTGGTCTCTACACTATTGCTTAGCTTGCCAATTGGTGTCATCCATTTAGATCACTAGAGGTCACAATGGTGCCTGATCTGTCTTCTAACCTATGATTCCCTCTTCCCCCTATCTTACCCCTTCAGTCGACATTCCTGTTCCTCCACGTCCTACTCTCTCTTCTACTTCTTCCCCTCTCTATTTCCCAGGTCCTCCTCCCCCCTGCCCCTCACCGTGTTCCCCATCTGTTTAGAAGATCTTGCCTCAATAATCTTCTCTTGGGTACCATGTATATCTTTTAGGTTCTTTCCTGTTTCCCAGACTCTCTGTCAGTGGAAGTACAGACTGGCACTCTCCTGATCCATGTTTAAAATCCATATATGAGTGAGTACATACCATGTTTGCTTTTTGTGACTGTGCTACCTCACTCAGGATGGTTTCTTCCAGTGCTATCCATTTACCTGCTAATTTCAAGATTCCATTGTTGTTTTCTGCTGAGTAATACTCCATTGTGTAAATGTACCATATTTTCTCTATCTACTGTTCAGTTGAGGGTTGCTTCCAGTTTCTGGCTATTACAAATAATGCTGCTATGAACATAGTGGAGCAGATGCCTTTGTTGTATGAATTTGCCTCATTTGGATATATGCCTAAGAGTGGAAATTGCTGAGTCTTGTGGTAGATTGATTCCCATTTTCCTGAGGAATCTCCATACTGCTTTCCAAAGTGGCTGTACAAGTTGGCACTCCAACCAGCAGTGGAGGAGTGTTCCCCTCTCTCTACATCCTATCCAGCATAAATTGTCTTCGGTGTTTTTGATTTTAGCCATTCTGACAGGAGTAAGATGGTATCTCAGAGTTGTTTTGATTTGCATTTCCCTGATGGCTAAGGATGTTTAGCACTTTCTCAAGTGTCTCTTGGCCATTATAGCCTCCTCTATTGAGAAGTCTCTGTTTAGTTCTGTACCCCAGCTTTTGATTGGATCCTTTGGTGTTTTGGAGACTTGATTCTTGAGTTCTTTGTAAATTTTGGAGATTAGCCATCTGTCAGATGTGGTGTCAGTTAATATCTTTTCCCATTCAGTGGACTGCCTTTCTGTCTTGTTGACTGTGTCCTTTGCCTTACAGAAGCTTTTTAGTTTCATGAGATCCCATTTGTTAATTGTCGATCTCAGTGTCTGTGCCACTGGTGTTATGTTCAGGAAGTGGTCTCCTCTACCAACTCGTTGAAGATTATCTCCCACTTTCTCTTCTAAAAGTTTCAGTATGGCTGGATTTATGTTGAGATCTTTGATCCATTTGGACTTAAGTTTTATACAAGGTGATAAACATGGATCTATCTGCAGTCTTCTGCATACCAGTACCCAGTTATGCCAGCACCATTTGTTGAAGATGCTTTCTTTTTTCCATTGTATAGTTTTGGCTACTTAGTCAAAAATCAAGTGTTCATAGGTGTGTGGGTTAAAATCAGGGTTTTCAATTTGGCTCCATAGGTCTACCTGCCTATTTTTGTGCCAATACCAAGCTGTTTTCATGGCTATAGGTATATAATAGAGCTTGAAATCAGGTATGGTGATGACTCCTGAAGTTCCTTTATTGTATAGGGTAGTTTTGGCTATCCTGGGCCTTTTTTCCATATAAAGTTGATTAATGTTCTTTCCAGGTCTGTGAAGAATTGTGCCGGAATTTTGATAGGGATTGCATTGAATCTGTAGACTGCTTTTGGCAAGATTGCCATTTTTATTATGTTGATCCCACCAATCCAAGAGCATGGGAGATCTTTTCATTTTCTGGTGTTCTCTTTGATTTCCTTCTTTAAAGACTCAAAGTTCTTGATATACAGGTCTTTCACTTCCTTGGTTACACTTATTCCCAGATATTTGATGCTGTTTATGGCTATTGTAAAGGATGAGGTTTCTCTGATTTCTTTCTCAGTCACTTCCTCGTCTGTATATAATAGGGCCACTGGTTTATTTGAGTTTACCTTGTATCCTGCCACTTTGCTGAAGGTGTTTATCAGCTCTAGGAGTTCCCTTGTAGACTTTTTCGGGTCACTTATGTAAACTATCATATAATCTGCAAATAGTGAAAGCTTGACTTCTTCTTTTCCTATTTGTATCCCCTTTATCTCCTTTTGTTGTCTTATTGCTGTAGCTAGGACTTCAACTACAATATTGAAGAGATATGGAAAGAGTGGATAGCCTCGTCTTGTTCCTGATTTTAGAGGAATTGCATTTAGTTTGATGTTAGCTGTTGGTTTACTGTATATTGCTTTTATTATATTCAGGTATGTTCCTGTTATCCCTGATCTCTCTAGGACCTTTATCATGAAGGGGTGCTGGATTTTGTCAAAGGCTTTTTCAGCATCTAGTGAGACGATCGAGTGGTTTTTCTTTTGCAGTTTGTTTATATGGTGGATTACATTGATAGATTTTCTAATGTCGAACCATCCCTGCATTCCTGGGATGAAGCCTACTTGATCATGGTGGATGATTTTTCTGACATGTTCTTGAATCCGGTTTGCTAGTATTTTATTGAGTATTTTTGCATCGATGTTCATGTGGGAAATTGGTCTATAGTTTTCTTTCTTTGTTGTGTCTTTGTGTGGCTTGGGTATCAAGGTAATTGTAGCCTCGTAAAAAGAGTTTGGCAGTGAGCCTCCTGCTTCTATTGTGTGGAATACTTTGAGGAGTATTGGAGTTAACTCTTCTTTGAATTTCTGGTAGAATTCTGCACTGAAACCATCTGGGCCTAGCCTTTTTTTGTTTGGGATAATTTCGATGACTGCTCCTATTTCATTAAGGGTTACAAGTCTGTTTAGATTGTTTATCTGTTCTTGATTTAGTTTTGGCAAGTGATATCTATCCAGGAAATTGTCCATTTCATTTAAATTTTCAAATTTTGTGGAGTACAGATTTTCAAAGTATATCCTGATGAGTCTCTGGATTTCCTCAGATTCCGTTGTTATGTCCCCTTTTTCATTTCTGATTTTGTTAATTAGCCTGCTCTCTCTCCTTCTTTTGGTTATTTTGTACAGAGGTTTTTCTATTTTGTTGATTTTCTCAAAGAACCAACTCTGTGTTTCTTTGATTCTTTTCAATGTTCTCCTGGTTTCTACTTGATTGATTTCATCCTTCAATTTGATTATTTCCTGGCGTCTGCTCCTCCTGAGTGAGTTTGCTTCTTTTTGTTCTAGAACGTTCAGGTGTGCTATTAATTCTCTAGTATGACTGTTCTCCAATTTCTTCATGTGGGCACTTAGTGCTATGAACTTTCCTCTTAGTACTGCTTTCAAAGTGTCCCATAGGTTTCTGTACATTGTGTCTTCATTCTCATTGAATTCCAGGAAGCCTTTAATTTCTTTTTTTATTTCTTCCTTTACCCAGGGATGGTGCAATTGACCATTGTCCAATTTCCATGAGTTTGTGGGGTTTCTGCGAATTGTGTTATTGTTAAATTCTTATTTTAATGCATGGTGGTCTGAGAGGATACAGGGGGTTATTCCATTTTTTTTGTATCTGTGGAGAGTTGCTATGTTTCCTATTATGTGTTCAATTTTAGAGAAGGTTCCATGTGGTGCCGAGAAGAAATTATATCCCTTTGTGTTTGGTTGGAATGTTCTATAGATGTCTGTTAAACCCAGTTGGGTCATAAGTTCTATTAGTTCCTTTGTTTTTTGTTAAGTTTCTGTCTGGAGGTCCTGTCTAGCGGTTAGAGTGGAGTGTTGAAGTCTTGCACTATTAGTGTGTATGATTTTATGTGCAATTTGAGCTTTAGTAATGTTTCTTTCACAAATGTAGGTGCCTTTGTATTTGGGGTGTAGAATTTTAAAAATGAGACTTCATCTTGATGGACTTTTCCTTTGATGTATATGAAATGTCCTTCTTCATCTCTTTTGATTGATTTTAATTTGAAGTCTAGTTTGTTACATATTAGGATTGCTATACCCGCTTGTTTCTTGGGTCCATTGGATTGGAAAATCTTTTCCCAACCCTTTACCCTGAGATACCATCTGTCTGTGATGCTGAGATGTGTTTCTTGTATGCAGCAGAAGGATGGGTTCTGTCTTCGTATCCATTCTGCTAGTCTGTGTCTTTTCATAGGCAAGTTTAGGCCATTGACATTGAGGGATATCAATGACCATTGATTGATGATTCTTGTTTGTGCTTGATTTATTGGTAGTGATGTTATTTTGTGTAGTTTCTCCTCATTTTTTCTTTTGGTGTTATTTAAAGTGGGATTATATATTGTCTGTGTCTTTGTGAGTGTAGTTATCTTCTTGGATCTATGTTTTCCTCCTAGCACTTTCTGTAGAGCTGGATTCATGGACACACATTGTTTAAATCTGGCTTTGTCATGGAATATTTTGTTTTCTGCATCTATGGTAATTGAAAGTTTTGATGCATATAGTAGTCTGGGCTGGCATCC